ATAAGTTTAGTTTATATAAATTTATTTTGGTATTTATTCTATTTGTATTTATTGTACATAGAGGACGAATGAGCTACCCTGTCACTATTATTATTTTTTTTTTCAGTTGGCTCTAGAGACCTTGTAGATCTTTGGCCGCCTGAACCAGCCTTCTCCACCTTTGCCTATCTTGGGCTACTGCTTTCCAGTTTACTGCATGTAGCTCAGCCGTGTCTTAATAATCACTATTATTAATATCTATAATTATAACAAGATGAAATATTACTGAGTAAAGAAAATGAAAAAAATATATATACAACTGAAAGATAAATGATACTTTTTATAATATTTAATTAATATTAACAGGTTGAATTTAAACTTCAATAATCATTAAATAAGATAAATAAGTATTCCAATTTTGCGTAAAATATAGTGTCACTGTATTGCTATTAGCAATCATTTTATTTTTCTATATAGTTCTACATTCCTTTATATGTTCTTTTGAATTTCTGAAATAAGTTTTCAGGCATGATTAAGACATATGCATGGAGACATTAGAACAGAGAATAACTTTTTTTTGTCGTGCGGATGACTGAAATGGGGAAACGCTGAAGGATTAGTTTATATATGTGTGTATGTATATATATATATATATATATATATATATATATATATATATATATAAATATATTCATGGTTTTGTGTTTTGATTTTTCTAATTATAATCCAATATTTAATTTATAACATTTATTTTGTTTTTACCCTTTTATATTAATGTATTGATCCATGTTAAATTATAAATAATTTGATGTATATAATGTGGTCATAGTATACATATAAGCCTTTCCGTTAATAGAATGACTAACTCCAATTTCAAAATTTTTGAGTAAAGTAATTTTAGTGATATTTCTTAAATTTTATAATTTATGTAGAAACATTAAGTAAGTTGACTCCAGAGTAGGTGATTGAAGTGTTGAAATATAGAACTGAAAAAGGTTTGTTTGTTAGTTTTTTAATTTGTTTAGGCTTTAAAGCGTAAAACCCTAGGGTCACCAACGCCTGATGTTTATTTAGTTTTGTTCACTGGAGTTCAGAAACTCCTTATGAGAGAAAAAAGGAAAAAATAAAATAAATATAATAATAATAATAAATAAATAATGTGAATAAAATTATACTTTTTCCTATAACAAGAAATCACTAAAATTAAGAATAAAATGTTGAAGTCGGAGTTAGTCACTATGTCAACTGAAAGGCTCGTATGTATAGAATGTACCAATTAATAAAATATTCTTTCAAAACGTTGTGAAATAAATATAAATAAAAAAGGATATTGCCATTAATTTACTTCATGAAATTCAAATAAATAATATACTGGATGAACATTTGTTTTAATAAATCTTTTATTCGATGAAATATTATATGAAGACCAAGAAAAATAAACATTAAAAGAAAAAAAAAAAAAGCCTGGCTTTGAATAAATGTTAATTCGATCAAAGAAGAAAAACAGTGTTACAAAAAACAAATAAGATCTAATTAAACAGATAAGATATATAATATATAATATATATATGTATCATATATTTGTTATGTTAATAGTAGAAGTTACTGAGGATCGGGGGCAAAGAATACCGTGCCAGCATTACACTCAAGGCTTGACATATCTAGTTCAGTGCCCTATTTATCCCGTTGCAGATCACTAATAATCTCTACCTACCGTATCGGGATGTTCGAAATCGTATAACAAGTTAAATTTTTCTAATCCAGCAATCAATTAATTTATCTTTAGTTTTGACATATAAAATTTTTATATTTTTTATTATTATAATTTTTCTATCTTTTTATTTGCACCTGACGTCGACTGTTAACACTCAGCAGATGGTTTGAAACGTATAAAATAATTTGAAAAAAAACAAAAACAGAACATTTATTTGTATGTTCGTTTCATCATTAGAAATTTTGGTTGTTTTATTGCGACATTTATACTTTTTTTTTTGGTTAAGTCCTTCTTTTATTTCGGATATAAAGAAATAACTAATCATGTTTATTTATTTCTTATACAAAAAAATCTCATACTCATAACGTGTCCAGATGATATCTTTTATTCCTAAGGTCATTGATATAACAGGATCGTATGATACACAGCTGAAACGAAAACATGGCTTTGTTAAGATCAAGTTTGGTCGTTTATTGGTGTTTTTGTGAAGCCTAGTAATTTAGGTATAAACAAATTTTTATGAAAAAAAATTCCTATCCTTATAGTAAGGAGCGATTTCGGCAATTTATCTTGATAAATCCTAATTTATATTTTATATTTACTTCCGACAGTTGTTGTTTCAATCCTTATAGTTAACATTAATTAGAAAATTTCAAATTGAGAGAGGTTGCTAGACTGCGGATTGCTTATTTACTAATTATATTAACTGGACAATTTTCACTTTAATAAAACCGATGAAAAGCAAGATTCCAGCATTTTTTAATCCACATCAATAACTTTTAGATTTTGTGCCTTTGTAAGGTAAGAAAAAAAATAGCTACTTTTCAATTGTTCATATTTTATAATTTTGATTTAAATTCGCTAACAGGGGTCGGATTTGTACAATTTTGTGAAGTCTACAGGATCTAGAATTCATGAAGTGAATTCGTTGAGTCCTCATGAAAGGATCACAATTTCTTTGACTTTCGATTAAATAATTCAAAGGCTTCGATTTATGTGAAAACTTGAAGAAAAATATTTTTTCATTGCTATAAAATTTTTTATTTTTTTTTTTATGTGAATGGTAAATTCCCTTTATTTAAAAATATTTACGCATACACTGCTATTCGATCGAATTTATTAACCAAAATATTAAAAAGACCAACGAAAGTACCTCTTATGGTTAGCATGAAAATTATAAATTACGATAAAAAAGGAGTCTGTCAATGACTATTATTCTAAGACGATATCGATAAGACAATGTTCTGAAGATGTTAGAACGTTAACAGAATAATGATAACTAGTTTTTGACTAATAAAATTAATCCAAAAGAAAACAAATTCCAATCACAGAAAAATTAGAAGAAATGCAGTATGCCTAATAAGTATGCATTTATGGTTCAGAGACAACAGAAGAAAATTGGTGGGGAATGAAATCTTCTGTTTGAAGAGTAGAATATATGTAGATTAGATTTATATATATGTACATTAACATTTTCGATTCATGCAAGTAAATTCATTCTTTGACATTTAATTAGACTATTAGTTAATAAAATAATATTTTTCTTATATATAAAAAAAAATAAATAAAATAGCTTTAAATTTATTCAGAGCCCTTAACCTAAGCCAATATTAGAGTGTTTATACATTATTCATACATTTTCTAATTTCTTAAAAATTAATCATTCATTTTCAAAAGAAAAGTTGAGGTATTGTACTTTCCATAATATAATAAAATATAAAACGAATTTCATAACACAATTATATTCGGTTTTAACAATTGCACACCCTTCTAGATATTAGACTGGATGATTTCATTTTTCATGCTTCTATACTGATGGGTTAATCTTTTATATAACATTTTCGTACACTAAATATATTTTTGATAAAAATCAATTTAAATATCTTTGTGCTTTAGATGCATAGGATGGCGTGATTACTTTGCATAACTCTTGTCCATTAGGGATAATTGTGTGCTTTATGATTTGTTGCAAATTCCTAGTAAATACTAAGTTTCATCATTTTTTTAAAATTTTGAATGCCAGTATAGCCCATACAACAATGACAATATATAACATATAACACTAAATATTAAATAACATTGCAATTTTTCACCTTTTACCTTTTATTTATATTATTAATATGTTTATAACTTTACTCTATAGCTGGAAGCAAACGTGGGAAAAGGTATTAAAAACTTAAACGGATATCATCAAACGATTTATTTTAGAACCGATAGACAGACTAACTATGCTGAGATTATGAACGCCTTGACGGATTTCAGCGGATAACCCTCCTTGAAAGTCAGGAAAAAAAAGATCATAACTATCAACTGATTTTTTGAAGTTCAGTGATGTAAATTGAGAAATATAAACACTGATATATTAACAAGATTAGATCCAGCAGATCTATTGGTCCTTAAAGCCGATGGAAATTCTATTTATGATCTCCATCGAAGTTTTTTGGCACGGTTATATGGATCCAAGTGTCACCAATGAGGTTATTACCTGTTTTTGACCGTGTTGGATATTTTTCCTAAAATTAAATATTTTGAATAAAAATTGCATTTTAATTTCATAATTCATATTTAGTGACTATATAACATGATAAAATTAGTAATAGGAAAAAATGAAGTATTGATCTTGTGACGTATTAATGCCAAAGATCTTGCAGTGAAGAGTGAAATAATTTTTTTTATCTATTTGATTTAATTTCATTTAGTTATACAAACTATTTTGAAAAAAAAACGAAAATAAAAATTAATTTAATTTATTATAATGTAATTTTTTTTAAGGTGTTGATATTAGGTCTATGTAACATAAAAATACATTTAGTGAATATTTTACTTTGCTTATCTTTAACTTTATTTTATTGTTGTTTGTTGTATACAATTTGCTCCTGTTTTATTTTTTTTATTTGTATCTTTTGTAAATATGGTGCAAATGTACTCTTAGTTGTCTATAAACAATGTCCACATTGTGACAGAATGTTATGTTTTTTAATATTAATAAAAAAAATACATTAAGAAAACTATAGAAAAAGTTATAAATTATATAATTATATTATAAAGTTATAAAAGTTTAAGTGAACGACCAACTTGGAAATCAACATCCATAAAAGTAGTAATTATTTCAGGTTAATCACATTGATTCTTTTGAAATTTTAAGATTTTGGTAGTTCACGTATTTTGGAATTTCATTGCATTCGAAAGGTTAGCTCCAGCTTCCGAATTACTTAAACACTAAATTCAAATGACTCGGGTAAGATTGTTCCGTGAAAGGTTGGCTAGCTAGGTGGGGGTGTCCCTAGCAACTCGTATATAAGAGTGGAGCATCTTCAGGCAGTCATTGAGCAGTGTGCATCAACAGGATTACCATGATCAAAACAGTAAGTATCAAATGTAAAAGGGGGGAGGAGGCGAGTAAGGGGGTATTGAATACGAAAACAAAATATATTGAGGGTAGAAAATAAAATGTGCCTTGCTTTGTTGAGTCCAACACTTTAATTACCAACTAGGCGAGATATATCTATTTAAATCAAAATTTATTTCTGTTAGCAAGTTTAATAAATCTTAAAGTATTTGAATAATTTGAAAATTTTCTTTAAAACGTTAAGGAAATGTATGATTATTTTTTTACAATCGAAGAAAATTCGATTCATATGCTCATTTAAAAATCTTTAGTAAAACCATAACCATTAACTTCATTTAAAATCTGTAAAATTATGTCGCAATTAGATTATAATATTAATACTGTTTATATTAATTTGTTTTTGCCTATTTTAATCTATTTTAAATTCTGATTTTCAAAACAAAAAACAAATTAATGTGCAAATTATCTAAGTATGTGTAGATGAAAAAATATACATTTTTTCTTTTATAAGAAATTTAATTTTAATTTGTTTCGATATTTTCTTTAAAAGCTATCTTCGACCAGAAAGTAACAAATAAAAATATCGTCTTATTCATATTACGTGGGTCTACAGCCCTTGTGACGATATGGCATCCTGAAGAATGCCTCTTCAACCCCTCTGTTCGTATACCATCTTCTTAATTGTCGAATTCCCATGTCATAAAGATCATCCTCCACAAGATTGATGTATCGTAGTCTAGGTTTTCTTTTCCTTCTTTTACCTGGATATAGCAGATTTCTTCGGTTATCTATCTTCTTATAAATCTATCTTTTTTTTTGTATGTGTCCTCTCCTTCCTCGCCTTTAAGGCTATACGTGGGATTTTCCCTGGCCAGGAGGCGATGGCGAGAATTCAAAAGACCCTCCCGGCACCAGGACGCGAACTCGTGACTATTTTCGGTTATCTTTGTATCAGGTTCCCGGACAACGACGGTGCTGTGCACACACGTTAGCCCGTTCGGCCATCCCGCCTCGATTATAAATCTATCTCTTTATTGCATATTTTAAACGTGTCCAAGTCATCTTATACAGCTTAGTTGACATAACTGACTATGTCTGATTCATTACATAGTTCCCGAAATTTTCCATTCTTTTTATCTAGCCAACTATACACATTAACCCAAATATTTGTCTAAACTTAGTGCTTTCCCGAACCCAAAGGGTATTCTCGCATCACTGAGACACGACCCAAGTTTCACCACCATATGTGATAATTGTCCTCAAGATCGTTTAATAAATACGTATAGTATTTAATATAGTAGTATAGTATTTAATATACGTATAATATTTAATAAATACTAAACTTTGCTTTACAGGTTTCAAAACTACAATCTTAAGCGATTTTTTTACTGTCAATAAAAACATATCATTAAATATGACATCGGTACTTTACAAGACGTCACTAATTGCATTTTTAATAGACCTACACTTTCAATTACATATGTATGAATTTTGATTATCTTTATAAATGAAAAACTGACTAATTGTAAGTGTACTAAAACACAAACCCTTGGTACTAAAACACAAACAAGTTGGCAGAACATCTGTCACAGCATTATAAATGAACATTGTTTTAATTTTATAAAAATAAAATTAATCAAAATATTTAGTGATTTATTTTTTTTTTTAAATCTTACTTAATGGTTCTTAGCTATAAATCGACGATGTATCGATATAATTTATAAACTGTTGTATATTATTTGTTGTCTTTATATTAAATTTTTGTTTCTTTAATTAAAATGTATATTTCCATTAAATTTTATTATGCTCAACAGGTCGCTTGTCTCCTAATGGTCGTAGCCACCTCCCTGGCACAGAGGCGACCACCCATCCAACCATACGATAACGCCAACGTCATCCCAATCATATCGTATGTCAACGACAACAACTACGACGGATCTTACAAATACAGGTACATAGTATCGCTAGATGTAGTTAACGATATAAAGTTCATTATTATTTAAAGTCAATCATTCTTATTTATATTTGTATTTTGATTCCACTGACTGTATTATGCATTGGAAATCCTGAAAAAAAAAAACACATCAAAAATGTAAAATTCCTTAGAAGTATTTAGATCTTTGTCTGAGTCAATGGATGTAATACTAAAAGATTCATGCGACAAATAAAGTAAACTATCAAGTGTATTAGAACCAAGAATGATAATACGTTGCCATTCAGTCGTGACCTGTATTCATCCGGTATAGAGGAACATTGATGACCCATTGGAGAAGATGAGCAATTGCGTGTTCCGTTACATTGTTTTTGCGTGACGCATTTTTTAAAGAAAAGGTGTTATAAGCTTGCGACTGATCTAACCGCTTATGAATCGGTCGCATCCTTAGCTGAATGGTCGATGAACATATTTTCTATGGGCGGTGATCTATTATGTTTTGACATGTTATGGTTCTGTTTGCTTATCTTATCGTGGTGATGATACCGGTATTTCTCTGCGTCAGAGTACATTTTCTAGAAGTCAGTATAACAAGATTTAAGAATTATTAGGTTCTTCTTTTACACTGTTTTCAAATATTACTACAATACTTCCATTGCCATGGCCAAATGAAATATTTAGATATGCCATCATTAAAATTCAAAATGGAATTCTTCTAAAGAAACTATTAAGATCTAATTTTGAAAGATGACTAGTACAATATGCTTTAATTGTCATATTGCATGAAGATAATTGATAGTATATGCTACTAGTATAATTTCAATGACAAGAGAGAGAAAGATTATATTTTGTGTATTTTTTTAATCGCTAGATTATTAATTTGTAATAGAAAGACGTTAAATATTTTTTAACTAGTTGCGCAGAGAAGCCTTGACTACATTTATTGTCCCACAGTTTATTGTCTTTTAAAGCTCCATAGTATGAATTAGCTAGCATCCGTAACAACTCGAAGATTTGCAATACATAAAGTTTGGAATACGTTTCATTAATCCATTAACTCAAGTGTGAATTAAGAAAACTGTTAGACATAACAGCAAAAAGTTCGTCCTTCACATACAAAAAAAAATGTATTAATTTGTTCAATTATTTTGTAGAGTGTGTTTTAAACAATCTTTCTGATCATTTCTCAAACCTCAAGGTTAAGATATTTTAATATCTCTGTAAACTATGTGGCCGCTTCATCCTTCTTGTAATATCCCAATCTTTTTAAATTTATACAAATACTAAGTCCATACATTGTAAAAGTGAATACCCTGAAAACAGGGCATAACTAAAAACATTGGGTTAAAAATTATGGTTTCATACGTAATATAACTAATTTACTTTTTGAATCTGACATACAACGATGCAGTTTACCTCACACTTCCAGTTATCACTACTCAATAGAATTAAAAAAGTTATGTCCAACAGGTACGCAACTTATCTCTGCACTGGCGAAACGTGATAGTTTAGTTCGTTAATTGGTCTATTTCTTAAATTATTGATATAACATATATTAAATATACATTTGAGTTTATTTTCATGCATTATCTTGAGCTGATTCTATCATACACAACTTACCTAATTATCTAAAAATTTTAAAAAAGAATATCCTGGTTTTAGCTTTATTTTATTTTGTTTTCTCAGTCGACCTTTGCTTGAATAACGTTATTTATCCATAATATATAATCATAGAATAGACAGCTCATATTTTTCATCTGTGGAGGTAATGAGGTTGAATATTGGTAATAAAAGAAAAGTATGTTTAGCATAATTCATGTAAAAATAGCGCGTAAAACAGTGTTCAAAGTGGCAGTGATGACGAAGAATTGAATTTTTTTCCTTATTGATGAATGACCTTCTAACAAGAATGTTTTCTCAACCCATTAGTTCTTTACTGCTTCTAGTAAATAATTACGGAGATAGGAAAATACAACACAACACGAGTTTCTGCATAATTGACACTTAGTTAAGATTTTGAAAATACACTCACACACATAATTATATTAAGAGTATATGGATTCAAATTGATAAGGTACGCAGGTATGTATTTAAATTTTTGTTGAATGACTTGACAAAATGATTATGTTTTATATATCGTTCAGAACATTATTTTTTAACCGAATTATGTTTTTTAACTATCACTCTAATTCGAGTTACTGGAGAAGAATTTTACTTTCATTGGTTTGTGAACACTTTAAAAATTTAGCCATGATTCAAAGAACACGTTTCTTTAATTATTCCTGTTCCCAATTTAAAGAACTCCTTTCTTCTCTAATGCCTTTAAAAATCTAATTTATTTGTTTAAAAAAAATCAACATTCTTTTCAATTAACATCTTTCTAAAGTATTTTATTGCCTTCTTGCCTTGACGATAGTTTTGCACATAACGAATCGGTTCACATTTCAGCTATGAGACCGGCAATGGCATTTCAGCATCGGAGGAAGGCTTCCTGAAGAACCCAGGCCAGAAGGACCTAGAAGCCCAGACTGCCCGAGGTACCTACTCTTACACAGCTCCTGATGGCCAGGTCATCACCGTCAACTGGTACGCTGACGAGACAGGCTTCCACGCAGAAGGAGCTCACATCCCAACTCCACCTCCAGTTCCAGGAGTACCACAGGCCAACTACCCAAGAGGAAAATGATCGATCTAATGGACACGACTGATATGTTTTGTATTTTTGTATAAAAGTTTGTTTTTTGTAAAATACTGTATTTTTATTTATTTTCCATATATGCAATGCTTAAGTAAAGACAAATAAATAATCGAACTCAATAGAGCATGGAAAAAGTATTTTAAATGAATTAATACAATGCTAAACGTTCAACTTTTCTTATTGAAGTGAAAATTTCTTTAGGCAGGTTTTGCACTTTTTTTTTTGGAGAGAGAATTAGATTGAGTTGTCAAATCTCCGATGTATAACGCTCGGGTAATGTCGGCTAGAGTCGCTGATTGAAGTGTTTTTGCATATTGATTAAAATATCTCAAAAACTAAAAATCGGACCTGCATACAGTACGCGAGGGAAAAGTTCATAATTCCATTTTTTTTTTTAAATAAGCTATTATTCAAAATTCTATCTTAACTCAATGCCGTGTTAGAGAGGCGAAAAGGAACAAAATGTGTCGAAAACCAACTGATAACGAGTATCATACAAGATATGGATTAAAATATCTTAGAAAAAAACATCGGACCTGTATACTGTGTTCAGCATTCCATTCCCTTTATAATGAGCTATTATTTATAATTTTTATTTCATATTATTAATCTCGCCTATAAATTCTATCGTATTGTCTAGAACAACCTTAGTTTTATTCTGATTTTTCAAAAATATACATTTACATAAGTACCCGTAATGAATTAATCATTTTAGAAATTTTCATATTACTACCTTCAAATTCAGATACATCAAAATTCCCACAAGAAATCAGTTTAATGCTGGGTTTTGGAATTGCATTTGTATAGTTGTCAACCAAGTTCTTAATCGACATCCCAAAAATTTGTTGATCTGAATACAAGTTAAATCTATTCCTAACTATTTTCTATTTCAAGAAGTTAATATTACTTCTGACTAAACAAAACAGCAACATCAAGTGATACTAGAACGTTATTCGATGTTATTTTTATGTCGAAGTATTTAACGAATTTCCGAAAAAGCCATTTTTTTCTCTGACAAATGAAGGTGTCTTACATTTTCATTTGAGCATTCATAAACCTGACGTTGAACATTGGAATAAATATCTGCACAGTGTAAATCTAGAAATTAATCGGACAGCATTGTAATGTAGCCTAAGAATGGTTGCATTATCATGCATTATGCTACATTTTATTCAGCAATGAAATGAAAAAGTAAAAAAAGTCGCAATTGGAAAAATAAAAACATAAAATGATGAATAATATTAATAGTAAAAAGGTGATTTAAAAAAAATAAAGAAGGAAAGTGGTAAGCTTGATTCGGAGCTATGTAATAAGCGCTGACATGCTTCATAAGTCATAGTCATATACGGGCTTCCCAAACTAGGGTCAGGACCGTATACAGATAAAGCTCTTGAGGTCATAGATATAAAATTAAAGTTATGTAATATCGGTGCAATGACCTTTAATTTCAGTGTAAGGATACATGATGCAAGCTTATATTGCATTACTTGAACATCTTCAGCCTACCTTATGATAATTACTAAAATTGACAATATGTCATTTTTACATGTAATTGTGTTTCTCTGTAAATTATTTATTTATAGCTAATTATACGAAAGTCGAGAATAATTACTGATGTAAACAATAATTACATCACTATATCCATTGGGACAGTTTGGCTTAATCTATTTTTTTTATTTAACGATCCGAGGAAGTATTTTTAATTGATTTTTTAAGTATCTTCCAAAACACTACTTCTGGAAAATAAAAATAATTTTTATATATCACGCCAAATTTTAGCATCTGAAGCATCTTATTAGTGGTGGTTATTGTACATTACCAAGTTATCCCTGCATCCATTATAAGTACAAAAGAGGAAAAGCGAAGCCAGAAGAGCTGAAAGGAGGCCAATATAGGCTGAAAGGAGGTAGGCCGTCGAACATGAGGAAATTTAACATGCATGATGCGGATATAAACAAATACTTAACGGAAAACTAGTGGGAATTCAATTACCTAACAAGAATGGTGAATACAATTTTAATTTTTTTTTGAGGTTTTATAAAGGCTATTATGAACTAATAGAACTTGTAAATTAAAGTTTTTTATTCAAATTGTCGATAAATGTAATATAACATTACCTGATTTATACTATGTATGTATGTATATCATGTTTCAATTCATGATTATAATTTTGGGATGGAATACATACACATAAATAAATAAATAAATAAATAATAAATATATATATATATATATATATATATATATATATATATATATATATATATATATATATATATATATATAAATATATATATATATAAATAAATATATTACCTACTTATAGGGTTACTGTACTAGGCAAGGAGAGAGAAAATAATAAGAAAAGGGTGATAATATTAAGATATTCATGTTGATACAAAAACACAGTACTTTATTAAATTTTTATTTTATTTTATATAAATTGAAATAGAAAACGACTTTCAAACCATTTTTTTAATCAATTTAATGACTAAAATTTTTTTTTGCGGGACAAGCATCATATTAATTAAAGTTTACCTCTAGATAAGCTGAATAAGGAACTATTTTAAAAGTCGTGGAATAAATCTAAAAATTTTTGATTTAGAATTGTCTCCCTATTACTTGTTTACTTATCATGTACCAGTTTTGCATAAATTGAAATTTAAAAAGTCTGTTTTAATCTATTCAAGCGCTTTCTATGATCTATTGACTAAGCCGCTAAGCAAAGAGGCCAGAAGATAGCATAGCATTCTTGGTTATCACCTCCACTTGGACTGAAACAATATAACTATTTGAGCCCCATCACTTATGAGAGGGTGGCCGAACGGGCTAACGTGTGTGCATAGCACCGCCGTTGCCCGGCAACCTAATATATGATACAATGATAAAATATATAGTCCCGAGTTCGCGTTCCGGTGCCAGGGGAGTCTTTTAAATCCCCGTTCACACTCCGTTGCCCGAGAAAACCCCGTATAGCCTTAAAGGAGCCGAGGGAGGGGAGGATCCCTTTCCCTCCTCCTCCTCTCCCCCAAAAAAAGCCCCATCACTAGAATAAATTACATATTAACCAAATTCCACACCTATTCTAACTCCTCAAAACTTCCTTACATTGAGTCCTGAGTAGTATAAGAGATTTCATCTCACCGGTTCATAGATATAATTCCCAAATCGATTGGGTATAAGAAAAAATATATATGGTATATTGTCATATGATGAAATTAGTAATAAACACTCAATGAATTACAGATACAACGATTACTAAGGAAGAATTTAAGTATAATGAAATCATCCTGTGGAGCATAGGAACGAAGCAATAACCATCAACACCAATGAATCTGAAAAAATTTTATCAGAAGAACTTATAAAATAGACCTTTATCAATATCCCAGCAGCAATTATTTAATAAAAATTGAGAATTGCTTGGTCATATGTTGAATGGTATCCATCAGATTATGCTGTTTATTTTTATTATATCATGAAATATAATTAAATGCCAACTAAAAATAGTTAACTTTTATCATTTGACAATATTTTTCAAACAAGAGTGTACATATTTCCGAACAAAAATCAATCATATATTTAATTAATACTCTAGCATATTATATTTTGATGTGATTGGGATTTCAGATATTTTAAGCTTCTCTTATTAACATAGAATCCACTCTGACAGGATTCAAACCCCAATATATTTAATAGAGCTCATTAGGGAAACTAAAAAGCTAATCCAATAGAGAAACTGCTAATGAAACAAATATATAACGTTTTTGAGAATTGATAACGCTTAAATAACTAGGATCTGGAAATTTGTGTTAAAAGCAACAGTTGGCTCATTATTGAGGGTTAACCTTGGTATTATGATGTGATAAGTGTGTGGTAATTTTGCTAAGAGGGCGTAATGGAGATGTGCAGTGGAAAAGTCATGTTTTCTGAACAGATGAATAGCCGGTTTCGGTTTCGACAACCTTTAGAAAACCATCAATTTGCCTCGTAGCTTCTTCACAATCGTGTATTTTGCAATGTCGGTCTTCTGTTACGTGAACCATCATCGATAGGATGGATATTGTTTTTTCAGGTATCACGATGAAACTGGAGAGTTTTGCAGTTTGTCGTCCACTTCGTTCAGCAATGATCTAAACCACATAGCCTTCCATCTGAGGGCATCCTTTACAGAAGAGATACAAGAATAACATACAATGTTAGAATGTTATTAAAAGAAAAATTTATTTAGTGTGATATATGATCGCATCTATTATCCGTTTAAAGATGTAGGCTTATTCTTCCATAGTTACTTCGTACACCTATTCTATCATCATTTATTGACATTTTTTTTACAGACTTTAATCAATTTTTATTATGGTGCTTTTTGCCTCTCATTAGCAAAACCGAATCACCAACTTTTTTAAAGAAAAAAATAAATACAAATTCAAATAATATAGCCATAACGTAGAACCTTGACATGCACAGAACTGTCCAGGAAATATTACAGGATACGGAGAAATATGTGGCTATCCTAATGAATTTCTTTAATATAAAAAGATTCTACAATGAAATATAGAAAATTTGAGAGAAGAATGAATTGCCAATCACTATATCGGGTTGAATTAAATTCAGTAAATAAATAATAAATTAAAATAATATTTAGTCATCAACAAGAACTTGAGAATCAGAGAAGAATAAGCATTCTTCAAAACTCTTATCTGTGAATACTTTCAACATTGAACACGAACTTAGAATAGATAGAACTTAAAACTTATAGAACTTAAAATAGATCTAAAACTAAGAATACTTCTTCGAATAATATAAAAAATATATCAATTAATCAACTTCGGAACCATGGTTACTTTGTGATACCGACAAACTATTGATCTCCTAACCACAGGTAATAATTTAATAGGAGTTCGGTTTGTGATTTCAGAAGCACTTACGATATCTTACGGCTAATCAGTACATCTTAATAGGGACAACCAATTTTAATGTAACCCTTTATATGTCACTGGTGCAAGGATGTTGCAGAGCGGAATATGAAAATTAGGAATTTCTGCATTAAACTTTA